CTTACACAGCTCACCAGAATTCTACAAGTAGGAAGATCTGCTGCTAGAACATGGGCATTTCTTCAGAAAGTCCTCATGGAATCCCATGGGCTTCCCAGGTGGCGCTTGTGGTAAAGAATCTGCTTGCCAATGCAGGAAACATAAAACACCTGGGTTTGATCCCTGGGTTGGGAAGATCCCCTGAAGCAGGGCATGATAACCCACTCCCGCGTTCTTGCCTGGGAAATCCATGGACAGAGGAGCCTAGTGAGCTACAGTTCATAGTGTCGCAAAGAGTCGGACATGACTGAAGCGACAGCACATACGCAGGCATGGAATCCCTAAAACTCTGAACAGTCTCTCCTGCTGTATCTTGTTTTCCTTTGATCAGAGTTAACCCTCCTACACAAAGGCTGTTACCTAGCTCTCCTTCACTCCACTTCTGCCCAAACCACACCCCAAGTCCCCAATTTCCCCATCTCCCTATTCCCATAGCTGCAATGGAATTCAGCTAAGATTGAACCTGCCTGGCCCTGGAATTGCTGCAGCTCATTTGGTGTTGGCTGAGATGGAGTCTTCCACAAAGTGGGGCCCTTGCCCACAGGGAACCTGAAACAGCTGATAGTATTAGGACATGAAGCAATATAGGCAAAGACCAGAGCTCCTCAAGGCCAAGGGAATCCAGGAGAGGCTTGGACTGTGTCTAGCAACACATCAAGAACATATTATTTTTGATATGTTTGTGATGCAGTGATGAAGTCTTCAGATGCTACAGTCTGCGTCCAATGCTCATTAAATACCAGAAGCAGAAAGAGAACCAATTAGGCATGTTGATTTCTAAGTATAATAATCCTCTTCATGGATCACAGGCATTTTGTGGTGAAAGGCCTTGCCTAACTCAATGAAGCTATAAGAGTATATATTATAGTGTTGTTTTTCTTCTCACCTAATATTTAGTCAAAAATAGTAAGGAAAATAATAATGATGCTGTTAAAGTGCTGTACTCAATATATCTGCAAATTTGGAAAAGTCAACAGTGGCCACTGGACTGGAAAAGGTCAGTTTTCACTCTAATCCCAAAGAAGGGCAATGTCAAAGAATGTTCAAACTACTGTACAGCTGGGATTATTTCACATGCTAGTAAGGTTATGCTCAGAATCCTTCAAGGTAGGCTTCAGCAGGATGTGAACTGAGAACTTCCAGATGTACAAGCTGGGTTTTGAAGAGGCAGAGGAACCAGAGATCAAATTGCCTGTATCCATTGGGTCTTAGAAAAAGCAAGTGAATTCCAGAAAAACATCTGCTTCGTTGACTATGCTCAACCTTTGTGTGAATCACAACAAACTAGTATAATTCTTAAAGAGATGAGAATACAAGACAACCTTACTGTCTCCTGAGAAACCTGTATGTGGGTAAAGAAGCAACAGTTAGAACCTTAACATGGAACAACGGACTGGTTCGAAACTGGGAAAGGGGTAGGACAAAGCTGTGTATTTTCACCCTGCTTATTTAACTTAAATGCAGAGTACATCATGTGAAAGGATGGGCTGGATGAACCTCAAGCTGGAATCAAGGTTCCCTGGAGAAATATCAACAACTTCAGAATTCAGATGATACCACTCTAATGCTGGAAAGGAACTGAGGAGCCTCTTGATGAGGGTGAAAGAGGGGAGTGAAAAAGCTGGCTTGAAACTCAACATTCAGGAAACTCTCCCATCTAATAGTCAGAAAAATCATCCCATCTAATAGGAGGGGGAAAAGCGGGAGCAGTAGCAGATTTTATTTTCTTGGGCCCAATATCTCTCTGAATGGTGACTGCAGACATGAAATTAAAGGACACTTGCTCTTTGGAAGGAAAGTTATGGCAAACCCAGACAGTGTATTAAAAAGCAGAAATATCACTTCACTGACAAAGGTCCATATCATCAAAGCTATGGTTTTTCCAGCAGCCTTTTATGAATGTTAAGTGTTAGGCCATAAAGTAGGCTGAACACTGAAGAATTAATATTTTCAAATTGTGATGATGGAGAAGGCTCTTGAGAGTCCTTTGGACTGCAAGGAGATTCAACCAGTCAATCCTAAAGGAAATCAACCCTGAATATTCATTGGAAGTACTTTTTTTGAAGCTCCAATACTTTATCCACTTTATCAGTTATCTTCTGATTGGAAGAGCCAACTCATTGGAAAAGAACCTGATGCTGAGAAAGATAGAAGGCAAAAGGAGAAGGGGGTGGCAGAGGATGAGATGGTAAGATAACATCACCAAGTCAATGGACATGAATTTGAGCACACTCCAAGAGATAGTGGTGGACAGAGGAGCCTGGTGTGCTGCAGTCCATGGGTCCACAAAGAGTCAGACATGACTTAGTCACTTAAACAACAGCAAAAGTATAATAAATGAAATAATAATGGACATTGGAAGAAGATGAGACAGGATAGAGATTGTAGTTCATGATTTAATATACAGCATAGAAATGATTTTTTCTTAATGCTAATTGCCATGGAGAATGGCAGTTAGAAGATAAAACTGAACATGATACTTTGCTACACTTTAAGATATTATTGGCAGGGGAATGAATATGCTAAAATATTAATAAAGTCACCTATAAATATTTTTTCAAAGATTTCTTAAGAAAGGAAATCTGGCAGCTCAAGAAACATAACTTCAATGATTCAATTCTTTTCTCTGTTTTACCAACCCAGTGAAAATCAAGTCTTGTTTTATGTTTCTAATAGTACTATATGCCATTCAGTAGCAGAGAAAGCTTAGTACCAGCTGCTGGATGTTTAAAACTTTTTTCAGGACAGTTAATAAAACTATTTCCATGGGAACTATATATGCAGGTTATAAAATAAGAACAAAAAAGAATCTCTTTTATGGTAAGAAATTAGATTTTTTTTTCCTGCAATTGACTAGTGTGCTGAATCTTTGAAATGTGTTCATAAATATTAATTGATCTGTCACTTCATATATATGTACATATACACATATACATCATTTCCTCATTTGCAAATGTAAGTTTGTTCGTTCAAACTGTATTGCTTACAATGGTAACAGGAATGTACTTCTGTTGCTAACAATGTGTTCAGTATTCCATCAGTATAATTTTCCATTGATTTTGTGGTGTAGGTCTTCTGTGAACTGCACTTGTTGAAGTATCATTAGTTGGTGAAAACAGGCCTCAATAAGCCAGAAATGCATGGGACAAGGTTCATGTTGTATGTTTTGTTGATATAGATTCACATTCATGAATGGAGTAAAGAATAAAATGGTGAAGATAAAATTAGAGAACTACTTTCCCAGTCAACTTCTGTCACTACACAAATTTTCTCACATTTCTATAAATTTCTTACCTCACTTTGTTACATATTCCAAAATTATGAACAAAATTATGACTTTTGTTCATTCAAACTGAATTTATTGAGTACCTAATATGTGTAAGACACTCTGCTAAGTGCTGCAAAGTACAAGATGACTATGACATGTTCCTCTGATGCCAGAAATTTAACTTTCAGTGGGAAAGGTCATGTTCTTCTTGGAGATGGTTAAAACGGTCAGTCTTTTATGTATTAGTATAGGCTTCCCTGGTGGCTCAGGTGGTAAAGAATCTGCCTGCAATGCAGGAGACCTGAGTTCGATCCCTGGATTGGAAAGTTCCCCTGGAGAAGGGAAAGGCTACCCACTCCAGTATTCTGGCCTGGAGAATTCCATGGACAGTATTGCCTGGTGGGCTGCAGCCAATGGATCCCAAAGAGTCAGACGTAACTGAGCCAATAACACTTTCACTTCACTTTTTCATAGGTTAATTTCATAGTTGCTTCTCTTAAAATAGCTCAAAATGCTGTTGTTTATGGTTATTTATATGATCTATCTAAAGATGTTATATATATCTTTATATCTATGATGAGCGCCGAAAAATTGATGCTTTTGAACTATGGTGTTGGAGAAGACTCTTGAGAGTCCCTTGGACTGCAAGGAGATCCAACCAGTCCATCCTCAAGGAGATCCAACCAGTCCATCCTCAAGGAGATCAGTCCTGGGTGTTCATTGGAAGGACTGACGCTGAAGCTGAAACTCCAGTACTTTGGCCACATCATGCGAAGAGTTGACTCACTGGAAAAGACCCTGATGCTAGGAGGGATTGGGGGCAGGAGGAGAAGGGGCCGACAGAGGATGAGATGGCTGAATGGCACCACCGACTCGGTAGACATGAGTTTGAGTAAGTTCCGGGAGTTGGTGATGGACAGGGAGGCCTGGCGTGCTGCGATTCATAGGGTCGCAAAGAGTCGGACACGACTGAGCGACTGAACTGTACTGAACTGAACTGAAAGATATTATAAAGTGAAGTCGCTCAGTCGTTCCTGACTCTTGGCGACCGCAAGGACTGTAGCCTACCAGGCTTATCCGTCCCTGGGATTTTTCAGGCAAGAGTACCGGAGTGGGTTGCCATTTCCTTCTCCAGGGGATCTTCCCAACCCAGGGATGGACCCCGGGTCTCCAGCATTGCAGGCAGATGCTTTACCCTCTGAGCCACCAGGGAAGCCCCCAAAGATATTATAAAGATCTATATAATCTTTCCATTAAATGTTACTTCTCCCATTTAAGGGGCTCCCATCTAAACCAGAGATGTCAGTCTGTGCCATCACTTGACCCCTGTCTAAACAAGGCTGTTTTACCTGGAGTTCCACTCTCTAAGGTTAAACCTTTTATATGCTTCTATATACAAATGTGCACACTGCCTCCTGCCAAGATATTTTCTTCATCACTAATGGAAAAAGGAAGTATACTCAGTTTTGTTGCTAGTATAAGTAGAGGAATTCTTTTTTTTTTTTTTTTCCTATTTGGTAAACTACTATTATTGTTCCATTAATACTGTCCAGAATGCCTCATTGTTTTAGGGCACTAATTTTGAATTCTGTGAAGGTTAAAATTAGGATTATTAGAGAACTGATTGCAAATCACAGAATAACCTGTGATAAAGTAACTGATCAAAGTTTAATTTCTTTGCCTTTATCTCTAGTTTGGATATTATGTCAACTCCTTGAGGGAAAACTTATTTGAAACACTGAATATCTGCAGTTTGTTGAGAATAGAAAACTCCGGTACTTCATTGGGAAACCCAGGTACTGACTGGAGCCTCATATTAATGAGTTACACAGCTTGCTTTGATATGCCTGGTATACTATCTGACTTGTCTTTGGTAATAGCTCAAACTGAGCAACTAGTAACAGTAAGTAGTACTTTGATGCTTGTATATATGATAGTTACTTTAAACATTTAAGAAACTTCCATTGTTATTTTAAATAGTTGAAGTTGATGGATTACTATTCTATAATGGGTCAAGAGGGCATTAATTTCAACTATTATTTTTGAGAGGTTACTCAGTTCTAGGTATCCTGATGAGAGATTTACTGGTATTGTCTTTAATCTTCACAGTACTGCAAAAACAGTACTATATTAGTTTGTTTTACATGTTAGAAATATTAGGTTTGAATAATTTAAATATATCACCCAGTGTCACACTGTAAGTAACAAAACCAGCAAGTTGACTCAAAATATCTCTATCCAGAGCATAAATTTTAACTTTGGAATTTTGGGGAAAAATCATAAAATATACAGAAAAGTTATAAGGGAAATGCAAAAATATCTTTCACCTAGAATCTCAAGGTATTAAAATTTTGCCACATTTATACATATATCTATATATATCAGTAGTAGTTATTTACTCTGTATTTATGCATATTATATATATATTACTGGTGAACTATTTGAGAGCACTTTATATATTATGCTCCTTTACTCCCATATATTTCAATAGACGTCTCCTAAGAAAACACTTTCTTTTATGATCACTGTACAATTATCAATTCAGGAACTTCAGATACATTACATCTAATGTGTAGTCCAAATTACTACTTTTACCAGTTATCCATAAACATTTTTTTTTCTGTTCTAGATTAATCTTTTAATCTGCAAGAAGATTTCAGGCTTTCTGTTTCTCTTATGAAAGTATAATTTTGGAGAACACAGAATAGTAGTTTGCACACTTTTGTTGTTGTTTAGTTGCTAAGTTGTGTCTGACTCTTCTTGAGAGCTTATGAATTGTAGCATGCCAGGCTCCATAGAGGATTTCCCAGGCAAGAATACTGGGGCAGGTTGCCATTTCCTTCTCCAGCGGAGCTTCCCCTATCCAGGGATTGAACCTGAGTCTCCCGCATTGGTAGATGGATTCTCCTATGACATTGTCATTTTGGAGAACACAGAATAGTATTTTGCATACTATTCCCCAGTTTAAGTTTACCTATTGTTTCCTTCTGACTCAATTCAAGTTATAGTATATGGTTTTAAGAGTACTGAATGCCTAACAACTGTGTGCTTCCCAGTGAAACACAGCAGGAGGCACTGGGGCTCAGTTTGTCTTGTTATGGCTGATGTTAATATTGATCACTTGGATGAAGTATCTGCCAGGTTTCTATACTATAAAGTTACTATGTTTTCCTTTGGAACTAATAAGTAATATGCAGAGTACACAATAATACCATATAGACATGTTGTTCACCTTTGGACTTTGATACAATGGGTTCATTGATAATTCTTGCCTGAATTATTATTATTATATAATGGAAATTTGTTGTGGTCCACACAATCAAAGACTTTGGCATAGTTAATACAACAGAAGTAGATGTTTTTCTGTAACTCTCTTGCTTTTTCGATGATCTAACAGATGTTGGCAGTTTGATCCCTGGTTCCTCTGCCTTTTCTAAAACCAGCTTGAACATCTGGAAGTTCATGGTTCATGTACTGTTGAAGCCTGACTTGGAGAATTTTGAGCATTACTTTACTAGTGTGTGAGATGAGTGCAATTGTGCAGTAGTTTGAGCATTCTTTGGGATTGCCTTTTTTTGGGATTGGAATGAAAACTGACCTTTTTCCAGTCCTGTGGCCACTGCTGAGTTTTCCAAATTTGTTGGCATATTGAGTGAAGCACTTTCACAGCATCATCTTTTCAGATTTGAAATAGCTCAACTGGAATTCCATCACCTCCACTAGCTTTGTTTGTAGTGATGCTTCCTAAGGCCCACCTGACTTCATATTCTAGGATGTCTGGCTCTAGATGAGTGATCATACCATCGTGATTATCTGGGTTGTAAAGATCTTTTTTGTACAGTTCTTCTGTGTATTCTTGCCATCTCTTCTTAATATCTTCTGCTTCTGTTAGGTCCATACCATTGCTGTCTGTTATTGTGCCCTTCTTTGCATGAAATGTTCCCTTGGTATCTCTAATTTTCTTGAAGAGATTTCTAGACTTTCCCAGTCTATTGTTTTCCTCTATTTCTTTGTATCGATCGCTGAGGAAGGCTTTCCAATTTATCCTTGCTATTCTTTGGAACTCTGCATTCAAATGGGTATATCTTTCCTTTTCTCCTTTGCCTTTTGCTTCTTTTCTATTCACAGTCATTTGTAAGGCCTCCTAAGACAACCATTTTGCCTTTTTGCATTTCTTTTCCTTGGGGATGGTCTTGATTCCTGCCTCCTATACAATGTCATGAACCTCCATCCGTAATTCTCAGGCACTCTGCCTATCAGATCTAATCCCTTGAATCTATTTGTCACTTCCAGTGTATAATTGTAAGGGATTTGATTTAGGTCATACCCAAATGGTCTAGTAGTTTTCCCTACTTTCTTTAATTTAAGTCTGAATTTGGCAATAAGTAGTTCATGGTCTGTGCCATAGTCAGCTCCCGGTCTTTTTTTTTTTTTACTGACTATATAGAACCTCTCCATCTTTGGCTGCAAAGAATATAATCAATCTGATTTTGGTATTGACCATCTGGTGATGTCCATGTGTAGAGTCTTCTCTCGTGTTGTTGGAAGAAGGTGTTTGCTATGACCAGTGTGTTCTCTTGGCAATGTCAAAGACTTTTATTTTTGTATTATTTTATTTTTATTTATTGACTATGCCAAGCCCTTTGACTGTGTGGACCACAACAAACTGTGGAAAATTCTTAAAGAGATGGGAATACCAGACCATCTGACCTGCCTTTTGAGAAATCTGTATGCAGGTCAGGAAGCAACAGTTAGAACTGGACATGTAACAACAGACTGGTTCCAAATAGGAAAAGGAGTACATCAAGGCTGTATATTGTCACCCTACTTATTTAACTTAAATACAGAGTACCTCATGAGGAATGCTGGGCTGGATGAAGCTTAAGCTGGAATCAAGATTGCAGGGAGAAATACCAATAACCTCAGATATGCAGATGACACCACCCTTATGGCAGAAAAATGAAGAAGAACTAAAGAGCCTCTTGATGAAATTGAAAGAGGAGAGTGAAAAAGTTGACTGAAAACCCAACATTCAGAAAACTAAGATCATCGCATCTGGTTCCATCACTTAATGTCAAATAGATGGGTAAACAGTGGAAACAGTGACAGACTTTATTTTGGGGGGCTCCAAAATCACTGCAAATGGTGACTGCAGCCATGAAATTAAAAGATGCTTGCCTCTTGGAAGATAAGTTATGACCAACCGAGACCAACCTAGCATATTAAAAAGCAGAAACATTCCTTTGCCAACAAAGGTCCGTCTAGTCAAAGCAGTGGCTTTTCCAGTAGTTGTGTATGGATGTGAGAGTTGGTCTATAAAGAAAGCTGAGCTCTGAAGAATTGATGCTTTTGAACTGTGATGTTGGAGAAGACTCTTCAGAGTCCCTTGGACAGCGAGGAGATCCAACCAGTCCATCCTAAAGGAGATCAGTCCTGAATATTTATTAGAAGGACTGATGCTGAAGCTGAAACACCAATGCTTTGGCCACCTGATGCAAAGGACTGACTCATTGGAAAAGACCCTGATGCTGGGAAAGATTGAAGGTGGGAGGAGAAGGGGACGCCAGAGGATGAGATGGTTGGATGGCATCACTGACTCAATGGACATGAGTTTGAGTAAACAACTCTGGGAGCTGGCGATGGACAGGGAGGCCTGGTGTCCTGCAGTCCATGGCGTTGCAGAGAATCGGACACGCCTGAGTGACTGAACTGAACTGAATGGGAAATTTTAAAAATCTATTGTATTTGTTTCCTGGGACTGTGGTAACAAAATTCCACAGGCTTGGTGGTTAAAGCAACAAATCTGTTTTCTCACAGTTCTGGAGGTAGATTTGTTTTTCTTAAGGTCTCAATCCTTGATTTGCAGATGGCCACCTTCCCACCATATCCATATCACCACATGTTTATCCCTCTGTCTGGGTTGTCTGTATCCTAATCTCTTCTTATAAAGACACCAGTTCTATTTGATTAAAGCCCAATGCAAAGACCCATTGAAACTTAATTGCCTCTTTAAAGACTCTATCTCAAAATAGAGTGTCATTCTGGGATACTGGGTTTTCCGGATATAACATATGAATTTGGGAAGGACACAATTGAGCCCAAAACACGTATCATTTATTCCATATTTGTTAGGTAGCAGTGTACTGTAACAAAGGGCTTTTTTCATTTCCCCATTTACATATATATATATTTGTATATACAGTGTTATGCATACACACACACACACACACACACAGAGGTATATTCTCCCAGTGTAAACTTGTGGATTCTTTTACAATTAGTATATTGTAATTCATTTTGTCATTTTCATGTTCTAGTTGTTCCAGATTTGGCCTCTAGGAAAACTTTCAAGTGGACTCTACTGTCATTTTTACAAGACCCTCTAATTTCTTGAGCTCTTTTTTACCTTCTGGAACAAAATTATATTCTGGACACATCTCAGACTTTCTCTTCCCTAGCCATAGAATCAGCCCCTTCTCCAAGGAGTCCTGATTTCTTTTAGTGGGTAATTGCATTTAGGAATCCAGATCTGGCCCAGAACATATATTCTTAAGCAATATAAAAACAGTGTCAAAACACACAAAATAGGATTAGTGCAAATATAATTAAAAAATGATTAGATAAATACATATTATAATAAGGCCATAGTTGTTGAAACACAGGATCCAAGTGGGAAAAAGATAACAGAAGTCTATTATGTTAAAAAAAATAAAGGACTAAAAAATAAATGTCACTAGGATAATGGGGATTTGTACAATATAGTCTTTTAAATGCAAACCTCAAGAAGTACAAAGTA